TTTTAAAAAAAATAAACTGAATTGTTGGACGCCGATCCATAATTTCGCAGGCCTAGTATCAAGCGTACGGTAGCTTGACAATCGATCGGGTAATCAGACGCTCGTTATGAGACAGACTTCGGTTTATACGACGTTACCCGAATGCGGTATACTGGGCGCTCGATACAAAAATGCTTTGAAATAATCATTGTGACATGGAAATGTTTGTATTGTTGATACACCTATACCTTTACCTTTGATACCTTAACTTTTTTTTATAAATACCTTTCAATACATTTTTAATTCTACCTTCTGCACAATTGCATTTTATTTAAATTAAACTCTTCGTAATATCAGCTTTAGTAGGCTCGTAGAAAAAATACAGTTCCTAACTCTTGCGGGAAGAAATTTCCGGCACTCGGGCGCTTCGCACCCTCGCACCGGAAATTTCTCTTCCCGCACTCGTTAGGAAAATAGCTATTTTTTTTGAAGGTTTTTCAAATTTTACCTTTTTTTCAATACTTTTGAAGGTTGTCAATTAAAAATCCCAAAAATTCCGCCGCTCAACGGCTTTTTTGTAGGTCTTCTTTCGGCCACTCACTATCGAAAACTTCTTCCACACTTGTATATGATTTTTACAATTCTACGCTCACTATTGCTTAAAATTTCAGCAATTTTGTGCGGAGCGATTTTTCACCTGCGGGTACGTCTGACAGTGCTCTTCAAAAATATAGAATGAAATATAGGGCATCCCATTTGAAAAAAGCTGGAAGCATGCAAAATTTCACATTTCTGACATTCAAATTTTTTTTTGACGAAACTGAATATTTTAATTTTTCTTGAAAAATTCAGAAAAATAATGAAATACACAAAGTCTAGTAGTTTGGTTCGGCCTTCTAGTATTGAAATTGTTTTATGAGTAATTTGTGAGCAATCAGAAATATATTTTGTGAGCACTACAAAAAATACAGTTGGCAACCCTGATTTGGTTCTATATTCTTGAAGAACACAATTTCCCGATTCCAAAACTATGTATAATGCGACAGCCTTACAAAGCCGAGGGCCGAGGGCCTCTGGCCCGTGGGTTCGTAAGTCGCCCGAGGGTATATGTATCTATTAGTACCCGTGGTGCATACAAACTTTTATGTCATACCAGGGGGACTTTATTTGAAATCGATATAACTTTGCGTACACGCAAACGACGTCATTTGTGGCTTAATTGTCAACCTAATGTTTAGAATGGTACATTATGCCCGCGCGGGCCAGAATGTGTACTTTATGCCCGCACGGGCATAAAGTGATGAATTATGTAGATGGTATCCAAGGTATAAAAAGACAATAATGTACTGGTATGACATGAACTATTTACACTAACTTCATTTCGAAATTTACGCAAATTTCAAAGTTTCAAATTGGCGTTGTCGGATTTTGAAGCTCTAACTTAATTAATTAGCTGTAAAGGTCCTCATTTCCGTTGAGAGCGATTGATAATGATGTAAATTTCGATTCAATGGTATCAATACCATGTTCACAATACATATTAATATCTAATCATGAAACGTCAGCCCACGCCTTCCAAGCTTCACGCATGCTGTATCGAAGTATTTCAACTGTAAAATGGACAGCGATTCCACTATTACTGATAAACCCTATACATGTTGTCATAGAAAGTGGTGTCTCCGCCACGATGTACAGAATTGGACAACTGATTCTAGATTTTACGTTGCTCTTCGGAAAAAAGGTCTATCGCGTTTATTCTACAAGAATAGATTACGGATACATAAAGGCTGGTATTAGTTAGTAGTTTTCAAGTTTAAGATTGACTGTGATACGATTTAAATAGTGAATTTTGTAAGAGTTGCAAATAGTTGAGCTGTTTAAGTTAATTAGTGAAGTAATTAGTGCCAGAGTGTGTAGTAACGCGGAATAAATTATTTGTGGTAATTGGACTTTGGTTTTGGAATAAATGAACCCAAGACTTTTGTGACGCACCCTAGAGACGTGACAATATTATATGCCGATACCTGCAGCGTGTAGAAATCGATATCGACTCAACGTGAATGTGCCCCTTTTCAATAAATTGGTCATTCTCTTTTTGACTAGTTTCTCAATTAGTTTTGAGTGGAAAGGGTCGGTAAATAAAGGGTTCATTTAAATAACCCACTTTGAATATGTATACCTGTGTTGGACGAGCCAAAAGCCTAATGAATGGCTGCCGCAATGATATTTATTGCTTCGTCGGGCAAAGCAAGATACATATATTTCAAGGGACAATTGATTTTTACTTTCTCTCAAGGTATCATCACCAGATTAACAATTTTACAAAAATTGTAGAAACCATTTTGTTTGGGGAATTTATGTGTGGTTGCAAGGTTTGATTAAATTGGCTGATATCGTTAAGAGATGAAAGAGTTTTGTTTTAAGATGCTATTTGCTACTTCGTTCGGAAAGTATTGTAGATTTACTTTGTCATATTATTTACCATTTACTGTCTGCTGTATCTTAATTTCCGGTGACAGCTTTAAACGTTAACGAATCCTCTTTTTAATAGTTTTGGGTAAAGCACAATTTCTGATATTCTAGCTTCATCCCCGTTTGTAAAATTTTAAGGAGTTCAATATCATTTTGACTGTCATTCAAATATCCGGGGAGAGTGTCTATTAGATTTGTAATATTGTCACGTCTTTGATTTCGGGCTAAGTTAAGTTTAAATTAAAGTAATGCATTAGAGTTTAAAATACACTCGACACATTTTGCTAATCGTAGCTTTAAACTCAACTATAAAATATGTTTAGTCGAACGTATTTCGAAGAGGTCTATTAACATTTTTCTTATAGTAAAAGGTTGCAATGGATAATTTTTACATAAAACAATAGCTCATAGTTACCTTTAAGCCAATTTCATGGGTTGCCTTGATTCAGATGGCAACGACATTGTGCGCAGATGGTCAAAATCCGGCTTTCAGACATCCCCGTGATAGTTAGGGTTGTGCCCACAGCCTCCTACATTTAACAAGCCATGAAGTTAAAAAGGCAACACCGCAATCTACCTGTGATGTGATTTGATTTTACTTCTACCTGTCACCTAATAATACCAGGATGGACAGGTATCCTCATGCTCAGGTGACAGGTAGATATAAATGCATATAAAATGCGTGCATTTCTTGTACATTAAACTACTTGTATCTCAAAAACTAGTCATAGAATTAAGTTGTGCCCATGATAGTTATTGATCAGAAAGGTGAGATCTATAACATAGTAAAATTTGGTTGAATTTGACCGCGGTCAGAAATCCCATAAGAAGTGTGTGGGGTCCTTTATGAAAAATATTGATTTAAAGCAGTCAGTCAGATTCTTGTATATACATATTATAAAATTATTGAAAATGTAAAACTAATAGTTGAAATTCATGTGGATGATATTATTCTTTTATCAAATGACCAAAAGGCAAAAGAAGAACTGAAAAATCAACTACCTACCTACTCAGAAATTTCAAAATGAAGGATATTAGAGAAGTCAAACATATTATATACTGGGGTATGCAGATAACAAGGGACAGAAAACGAAGAAAAATATGGATTGATCAAAAACCTTATATTGAAAAAGTAATCAGGAGGTTCAATATGGAAAATGCAAACCCGATGGAATTGAATCATCAAAATCAAGTACCTACCTATATGCATAAATTACTAGAATTATACTATCGCATTGCACAATAGGTTATTTTGATTTAAATAAGGGCGCGATCTGTCACATATTTTGTTTATCAAGAGTTATTAATCGCTGTACCGGATTTTTTTTTCTAAAACAAATCAAGCCTGAAATAAGGAATAATTGAATTATTGATTTGAAAGCATTCAAGAATTAATAATTACATGTATTCTATTTACAAACCTATAGATACATTGTTTAGATAGATAGATACATTGTTTTCAGCTTTTTCTGTAGAATGTAGAAGGAATGTAGATTCTTGGTATATGTATATAATTCAGCAGAAAAACTTATTGCAACAGTCAGTTTATGCAACAATTTGTTCAAATTGGATGTCAGTTCGCAACAAGCAGCCTTATTGTCAGAAGCAAGTGAGAAAAAATGCAATTTGTGGCACCGCAGGCTAAGACAGGTGAATACAGTGAATCTCAATAAAATGAAAAACGGTCTTGTTCATGGTGTTGATTACATAGACAATATTGACTTGGACTTTGTATGTGAAAGTTGTGTGATGGGTAAAATGCACCGATTATCTTTCAAGGATAGTAAGACCGAATCATCAAAACCATTGGAGCTGGTACACTCTGATCTATGCGGACCAATGTAAGTGGATTCACTTTCTGGCTCAAGGTACATATTTACACTTTTGGATGTTTATACTCACTATATATTTTTTTATTTTCTCAAAAATAAAAGTCAAGTCACAGAATATTTTAAGAAATTTCATAATTTTGCAGAAAATCAATCAAGGCAAAAAATAAAAATACTCCGTACCGATAATGGAAAAGAATTCTGTAATGTTGAGCTTCCTCGAATTTTAGAAAATGCTGGAATACATCAGCTTACAGTTCCTTATACACCTGAACAGAATGGTAAATCTGAAAGGATAACTCGTTCAATTCTAGAAAAAAACTCGTTGTCTTCTGGTAGAGGCTGGTTCACCACATATTTTTTGGGCAGAGGCAGTAAACGCATCTGTGTACTTACTCAATAGAATTCCTAGTCGATGTGTTGAAAAGACACCGTATGAACAAGTGTTGTTCATATAAGAATTTTTGGATGCCAAAGCATATGCACACATTCCGAACCAAAACAGAAAGAAATCGGATCCGAAAGCAATTCCAACTATCTTTGTTGGTTATAGTTTGGAGTCGAAGGCATACAGACTTTATGATCCACTAAAAAACATAGTATTTGTATCCAGAGATGTACAATTTGTTGAACAAGAAAAAGGTAGCATATTTTTGGAAAACAATAAGTAGGTACAGAAAAGGAACAAAAAAAAAATTCTTCTCTGATGAAGTTGAACAGGAACCAGTAGAAGAAGAAAATAGTGTAGGAGATAATTATTCAGAAGAAATTTTACTGGAAGATAACCGAGAAGATAACGCAGATTCTGATTACCAAATAAAAGTAGTAGAAGGTAGAAGTTAATAATTTAAATCCAGACGTAAGACCACAGAGAGTGAGAAAGGTTCACACACACATTGAAAGATTATGTTACATACACAGCAGTTATTGATACAGAAGAAGAAGATCCTATTGATGTTGATGAAGCGCTCAATCAGTCAGATAAAGAACCACAGAAAAAAGCTATGCGAGATGAGTTGCTACAGAAAAGTTTCATGTGCTAATCGAATATTTTTATTTATTTCTCTAGGTATGATTCCAATGAAGAATTTAAGTTTGTTTTACCAATACATAATAAATATTGAGGTACTTGGACTATTTTAATTATAAAAACTGTATAATATTTGTTTTGTCCAGATTTGGATCTTTGAATTGTGGTTATGTTAGCTGTTTTATTTGGGATTTCTTGGAGTGGGAAGGTTATGTAAATGTTCTCAATTTGCACAAACGATTATTTTATTTCGTTACTTACAAAATACACTTTGCACAACCGAACACTTAAATTCTAAAAAAAAAAGTTTAGTTTTCCAAATATAAAGCTCACTAGCTTCTTTGCCGAATGGCGAGAAAACAAGTACACTCTGGAGGAAGTTAGATTTCTGAATTTCACAATAATACAAGTGAATAAATAAATTTGTGGACTGTATCTTTAAGAAACAACAAAAGGGGTGGCGCGAACCGTATGTTAAAACTCTACTATATAATAATAATTGCGCGCACCAAGGTCAACTCTTCAACACACAAAACAAACTGCTGGCGCCGTATTGCTATCAGCCGATGGAATATTTTCGGCCAAATAAATGAAATTGGGATGCCTATTATTGTGAAGCCAACATTCTTCCCCCTTGAGGACTCTTCATCAAAACCAAAAAGTTACCTTCTTTGAGCTTCAATTGGCAAAGGACTCAAATTTGTGATTGGCCGCGTAAACTCCCCTCTAACAGTTTTAATTTTGACAATTCTTACCCTATTATCGCGTCCAGGCATAATCTCAATGACCCTCGCTAAACACCACTCCAAGGGAGGCAGATTGTCCTCCTTGACCAGTACCATATCACCAACACACAAATTAGCTTCAGTACTTTTCCACTTAGGGCGGTGTTGAAGTTGATTTAAATAATCGCGTGACCACAACCTCCAAAAATCTTGCCTTATTTTAGAACAATGTTGCCACAACGACAATTGATTTTCCGAAATTCCTGAAATATCCCTTTCTGCAAAAGCCGTCATTAGCTGACCTATTAGGAAGTGTCCCGGCGTTAGACAGGTAAGGTCATCAATAAAATCTGAAGTTGCCTGCAACGGCCTCGAATTGAGGATCGCCTCAATCTGTGTAAGCACTGTGTAGAGACATTCAAATGGCAGAATACTATTTCCAATCACCCTTTTTAAATGGTATTTTGTGCTCTTTATCCCGGCCTCTCACAATCCACCCCAGTGTGGGCTGTTGGGAGGAATAAATCTCCATTCGATTTGACGAGTTGACAGAAAATCTTGAATGTCATTGCGGTGGTTCTTGAATAATTGAAAGATATCATGCAAAGCATGCTGAGCCTCTTTGAAATTTGTGGCATTGTCACTTATTATCGAGGCAGGATTACCACGACGAGCCACAAAGCGCTTTAATGCCAAAACAAAATCTTCCGTTGACAAACTCAAAACCAATTCAATATGGATGGTCTTAGTTGCCATACATATAAACAATACTATATAAGCCTTTGAAACACTTGCTTTTCGTAACTTTGTCTCTTTCACGATAATTGGACCACCAAAGTCAATCCCAACATTATAAAATGCACGACTTATTGTAATGCGTTCTGCAGGTAAGTCTCCCATTATTTGTTTAGAAACAATAGCCTTGAATCTATGGCATTTTACACACTTGATCAAAATGCTTTTAATGCGCCGAAAAGAATTAACTATCCAAACTCGCTGACGCAAACTGCTAAGCACCGCCCGAGGACCTGCATGCCCCAATAATCGATGTTCATGTTCAATCATCAGGTCTGTTACATGACATTTTGGAAGAATAATTGGATGCCTTGCATCGAACGAGATTGGTGCATTCTCCAAACGTCCTCCAACTCTTAATAAGCCCTTGCGATCCACAGATGGATTTAAGCCTAACACTGAACTATTTTTGAACAACGACCGCCCCTCTTTCAAATCTGAAATTTCTTGTGAGTAATATTCAGCCTGTACAACCCTAAAAATGTAAAAAGATGATTGATCAATTTCCTCAATCGACAGAGGGCCAAATTTTCTTTGACAGTTCTTCTTTGAATTGTTAATAAACCTAAGTACAAAAGCCAGACTTCTTTGCAATCGTGAAAACTTTGAGAACCTTACAAACATTGTGCCATCTATTCAACAGAGACTTTCTCTGTTAAATTCCAATTTGGATCTGAAAGGAACTGAGGACCTTCAAACCAGATTTTGCAGTTTAGTTACAACACAGGATCCAAGCCACAGGAAATATGGTCTGCGCTATTCATCTCTAGAGAAATGTGTTGCCATTCAACATTTGCGGACAGATCTTGGATCTCAGAGACCCTGTTAGTAACGAAAGTTGCCCACCTAGATGGTGGCGATTGCAACCAAGCAAGTACGATTTTTGAGTCTGTAAACATTATAATCCGATCAGATTTCAAATCAATACATGATCTGAACCTATCGCACATTTTCATTAATAACAAAAAACCACAAAGTTCCAACCTTGGTAAAGACACTGTCTTGAGTGGAGCTACCCTCGACTTTGAGACTACAGGATGAGTCGTGACATTGTTTTTTTCATATAAAGCCCTGTCATATAAGCAGGCGGCATTAGCGACTTGACTTGCGTCCGAAAAACCAACCAACTGTATTGAAGTCACTTTCACATCAATGAATATCCATCTGGGAATAGCAAGATCTCTCAACCGAGGCAACTGCTCATTAAACTTCAGCCACTCACTCAAAAAATCCGAAGGCACAACCTCGTCCCATCCAACCTTTACCGACCATAATTGTTGCATAAAAATCTTTGCTCGAATAATAACCAGCCCAATGAAACCTATAGGATCAAATATTTGAGCAATGACTCCTAAAACTTCTCGTTTTGTAAAAGCCTTCCCTAACACAATATCAGGTACTGATACTTGAAATGAATCCGCTACAGGATTCCATGAAACACCCAAAACCGTTGAACTTTCTACTTGCGAAGAAATCAAAGAACGTTCGTTGGAATTCCATTTATGAAGTTCAAAACCTGAGCTCTCAAGCAACCTTGTTAGTTCATCCTGAAGTCGAAATAGTCTTCAGCTGAATGTACACCTCCCAAAATGTCATCCACGTACGTTTGTTTCAATAAACTATTTGAAGCCAACGGAAAAGACAATTTAGATTGAGTGGCCAGTTCCACCAATGTCCGAGTTGCAAGGAATGGTGCACAATTAGTTCCGTATGTCACCGTCAGAAATTCCAGATGACGCAAAGGACCAGATGAGTCATCTCTCCAAACGATATTTTGAATAAAAGTATCTTCAGCATTAATCTTGACACACCTATACATTTTCTGAATGTCACTCGTCAAGACAAATTAGGCATTCCAACGACCTGTCAAAAAGTGCGTTGTGGCAGAAGTTCATTATCCCGTATATGAGAGTATGTAATTTAAAGGTTTTTAAAGTGCATTTTGTGGTTGTTTTGTGAATGAACTCTGTTTATTTTTTTATTTTATTGACTTCATTAGTGTTTCTTCCAATTAAAAATGCCACAAACGGGTCTCTTGAAGTTGATTGTGGAAGTAGTTTCAACAAGGTAACAAGGATGATGTCAGGCTTTTTTCATTGCCCTTTGTTTTAAAATTTTCCAATTGAAACTTGGAAATTTTTCACTACCACTGTTCCTGCATCTGAAATAAAACCATTTTCGAAATATTCGTAAGAATCTAAGCTTTTGTAGGCCTTCATTTGCTCATTAATGTGAACTGTGGATCAATATGTCATCTGGAAATTTTTTTAAACTAACCGTTCGCCCAGATCCCGATTTTCGTGCATTCAAGTCTTTAAATATTCACTCTGCATCTCAAAAAGTATATTATAACAAAGTAAACTGTAATTAGCTTAAAAATATTCCAAATAAACTCAAGATAAATAAACAAACGTCAAATTTTCCACGGTCGCCATATTGAAAAATCACGTGGGTTGGAGAGCCTAATTGAAATGTCCTGAACCTTACAATAATGTCAAACAACTCCGGTTGAACCAAGCTTCCTTTCAGCATGATGTCATTCAGACTCAACCCAGAAGTAGTTTTCATCGACCCGTCAAAAACAACCCTATATTTAGTTGTCAATTTATCCTCACGCACGACACAATGATGAGGGAAATAGTACCTATTTTTTGTCGAAAGATCAACCTTGTTTGTGATATCTCTTGCGTGCCCTAGCCTCAAAGTATTCATCAATAAATACCTTATATTCTACCTTTAAATTTGCGTCCCTCTGAAGCCTTTTTTCTAGAAAACCGAACCGTTTTGTAGCTGCAGCAAGTGAATCACCTAGCATTGAAACATGGTAATCGGGTTTAATTGGCAATCTAACTTCAAAAACACCAGATTCCAACCTTTTAGTCGTGGCAGTATAAATTTTCTCACATTCCATGTCTTCAGGAGATAAGTGTCGTTTACTGGGGATCTCTTCCAACCTCCAAAATTGTGGAATCAAAGAATCCAGATTTGAATCTCGAGAAAACAATGATACGCTGAAATTCGTACAACCCGGCCGAACCGTAGACATCCATCCACCAAAAATCCATCCCAAGGCACTGTTTTGTAATACAGGGAGGTTTTCTCCTAACCTTAAAATGCCGCTTCAAATAATGTCATAACAAACATCTTCTCCCAACAGTATGTCTATTTCGAACATAAAATCTTGGATCCGCCAAGACTAAGTCACCAGGGCTGCGTTCAAAAACGGCTAAAGCCAAGCCAAAATTGGCATATTGCGTTCAAGTTCGGCTCCAGCGTGCCAAA